GCATGGTGAGAGATACAGGCCTAGTTTTAATCTTTGGCAAGTTGAAGCCCAATTTTTCCAGCACCATTTATTAAAGAGGCTGTCTTTCCTCCAGTGAGGGTGTTTGGATCCTTTGTCAAAGATGAGGTGGCTGAGTGTATCTGGAGTTGTTTCTGCATCATCTAATCTGTTCCACTGGTCCTCAGGTCTGTTTCTTTGCCTGGCCACAATTCTTAATACTTCTTTTGCTAATAACACCATCTACAGACTACCCCAACCTCAGAGAAACAAAATCCTTTATGTGTCTTGTGGAAAACAAATTTTAAGTCCTACTTTAAAAAAAAATGAACAAATGTACCCACTCTTGGAACATATTCTTATTGTCTATTTTGTGTCACCCTGCCCCAATAAGATTATCTCATCCTCTTAAATCTTAGTCAAGTCTCTCAATATTAAAAATAAATCAGTATAATAGCCTGTTTGAAAATATACCCCTTATCATTTTCATTTTATATAACTGACTTTTTGTTGTATCTAAATCCTCTATAATGTTTATAATGACAAAATCACCTAATAATACATTTTGCAGCACATATTCTCATCACTCTGTGATGCAGAATTATATACATTTTTAAATATTTTTAATTCATGGGGTATTTTTAATTCATTTTTGAAATATTTTTAATTCATGAGCTATTTCTCAAATACTTCCTCCAAGAGACCCAATCAAACTCACCTGAAAAAAATCACTTAAAAGAGCAATAATTCAGATAACCAGTCTCATTTAAGAGTGTCCCATTTAGCCTTAGGGTGTAGCACTGTTTCCTAAAATTTTCGATTCTTTTCCCCCTCCCATCATTCCAAGAAGCAGCACTTGCTTAGAAAAACAAACAAGTGCACAAAAAAATTAAAAAAGTAAAACTCCCAATGAGTAGGAGAAAGTTGATTGGCTTTATTTCTTGATCCAGTTCACGATTTTGGACAAGTTAATATCTTCAAATCTCGGTGTCCTTGTTTGTGAAACAAGGAATTTAATTCCTCTTCCTGGATATGAGGGATATACCAGTATTTGTATAAAGAGAAGTGAATGCATTTTAAGCTAGGCACTCAGTCAACAATGTTCTCTACTGTTCCTCACTGCCATGGACTGGGTCCCTCAAAGAGACCACCCTGGCTGCTGTTGAAAAGGCAAGTCCCAGGAGAGGTCTCAGAGAAAGCCCCACTCTATTAGCATAGCTTCTCTTTGGGAACTCTGGTGCCTCTTACCATGACCCATCTGCTGTCCTCCCTGCCTCTTCTTCAATATGAGTCATGCTAGCCACATGTGCCATTTCTCTGCCAACTTCCTCCACTGTAAGCAGCGCTCCCCAGGCCCACATGTGCAGAGCCAATGCAGTTCCCCAACCCTGCTACACCTTTTGCTGTGACCCTCTGCGTAGGTGGGCCTCAACCTCTGTGCCCACTCCTGAATCCTCACGTGAGACTGTACCTACACCAACCATGAAAAACGGGACAAAACATCAACATGCTATTTCTTTTCTTCTCCTCTTACACAAGCTTCCTCTTCCTATATCCCACCTCAATATATTTCTTCTATCTTCAAAATTCTCTTTTGCAGTGAGGATGGAGAAAATAAATCTCAAGAAACAATGGATGCTATATCTAAGTACTTCCAGAAATGCCTGATTAGTATTAAGTCTGGAAAGTAAAAGTAATCAGTTTTTGGCACTCACTGACATTTATGTAGATAACAAGAAACAATTTCACCCTTGCATGAGAAAAGGTCCACAGATAATTCTTACAGAATAATCTGATCCCAACACTAGGCATGCGAATACCAGTCTCTTGGGAAGAGGCTTCACTCTTCCTCTAAATGTGGAGTGGTCAGCTTTATGGACTTGTTCACCTACGCCCCTCACTATATAGGGATCCAAAACATAAGGAGTTTACCTTCAGCTAGGTGATTGGCACGGATCCGTGGGATGTGGTAGTTAAAAGCCCAGCTCCAGTATCAGGCTACTGAGATTTGAAGCATTAGCTTACAGCCCATGGAGAAATTTAATAAAATCTTGTTGTTTAAAAATTCACAAAATAGAATGATGTCTGTTACCTCAAAAGTTTCTGTGAGACTTATGAATTATAATCAGATCCCTAGAGCTTTGTAAAGCACTCAAAAAGCATTAATTATTCTTATTGTTGATGAAATTGTTATTTTTAAAGCACAAGCTAGAAACTTAATTATGCCCTGAGAAATAAAAGAATATGCATGTAATACATAAAGAAAGTTGCTGGAGACGGGCTCTTGAACTCTGGTGTACATCAGAACCACTGAGAGAGCTTGTTAACACAGAATACTAGCCCTGCCCTCAGACTTTCTGTTGGTAATTGTTGGGTAGGGAAAGAAAATTTGCATTTGTAATCAGATCGCAGCTGATATTGCTGTTGCTGGTCTGGCCCCATACTTGGAGTGGCTCAAATTTTTTTCTCTTATAGAAAAGTTTGATTTTTAGCAATGGTTGATAAACAACATGTCCACATTTTCTGTATCTTTTTCTCTGAGAAAGCAGGGTTGAGATGTTGCTGCTTCTCATCAATGCTCTAAATATGATTGATTCTTCTTCTTTTTTTGGTACCAGGCTTCGAACGCAGGACCTTGCACTTATGAGGCAGGCAGTGGCACCACTAAGCTAAATCCCTGGCTCTGGTTGATTCTTCTTATTTGATAGACTTACGCTGTGCCATGATCTCTACTAGGTACTAGAAATAGAGCAGTGTATCGGGCAGACATTTTCCCTTTCCTCCTAGAGCTAAAAGCCTACAGGGACAATTGGCTTTATGCAAATAATTATGTAAATGCAAAATTGTAGATTCTATTGACTAAAAAAACTTTGATTCTCATATTGACTCTATGAGATAGATACTACAAATATTGTTATTCCTACTTGAGAGCTAAGAAAAAAATGTAGAATCAAATACTTTTGAGGGTTGGTAGAATTCTTAGAAATCATTTTTCTTAAACTCAATTCAAATGAGGTTAAAGAAATTCCTAAAAAGACACAGGGGATCTAACATCAAAGATGAAATTAGACTCTTTCTTGAATTTTCTTCTTACACTGACTGAAAACTAAAAACATGGCCTTGGCATTTTACAGCATACATGCTATATACTGTGTATCATACCAACTATGTCATTAAAAAACAGTTTAAAAATCAGATAAAATAGAATTTCTAGAGTCAAAAGAGAACATGGGAAGTTGTCTATTCATACCCTTAATTATATGAAAAAAACAAGGCCTTAAGAGGAAATGACCTACCCATACTCCCAGGGCCAGTCTCCTGATTCCCAATCTGGTGTTTTTCTCTGAGCTGTGGCAGTTGCACTGTGTTTTGTAACTTTATTATACTGTCTCTTTTCCACTTCATCAAAGATGCTTCTTTAACCCACACAAATTAAAAGTTTCTTGTAGGTGGTGTTACAGGAAAGGAGAAATTCCAGTCAAAGAACTTTATTCTTGGCTTTGGTGTTTCATAAGCTTAAACCCTGGAATGAGACAAAAGAACAGCGTATAATGACGTAAAAGCAGTGATGTAAGATTTTTTGCCCCAGGATACCTAAAGATTATTTGGGATGAGGAAATAATAGAAGTTCAAAAGGAAGAGGCTGAGGTTAGGCACTATTGGTTTCTGGAAAGAGGGCCTGTTGTGACCCGCTTCTTGTGAGTCAAATGCCTAGCGAAAGAAGGTGCCACAGAGCCCTGGTTGCAGTTGGAAGATCCAAGAGCAAAGTGGATCTGAGTCCTTAGGCTTTAGAGTAGGAACAAGTCTTCAGCATTCCCAGACTTCATGGTAGGGAGTAGAAGCTGTGCTGGGCAGACAGGGCTCAGACAACCTCACTAAGTTCTCTATCCACTCTTCCACTCAGATAAAAAGGGATTATCCTATGCACCCATGGAAGATGGACAAAATGGAGGAGCGGAAGGTCCACCCGAGGTCTGAGGTCGTGAACGGGCAGAGATGCAGCGATGACCTACAAAGATAGGGCAGTGTCGATGTCATCCCTCCCTCCAGCCCTTGCCTAGGCCTCAAGCCATCCCAAATTTAGACCTAATCCTGAGGAATGAAAGGAAAGGTAAAAGGGGCATGCAAGACCATACTGTATTAACTGAGATCCCATTTTGAGTCATTTTGCCAAATGGGGAATTGAAATAAATACTAAGTTCAGTTATAACAAAATAAGCTAGAGAAACTTCTTTTACAAAAGTTTTTTTTTCCCCCCTTGCTACACACATTACCGCTTATTTGGCACAAACGTAGTGTTCCCAAGTTGCAAAATTGTTACTTTTCTAAATTCGACTTAAAAAATAATAATTTAGTCCAATAAGTTGGCATGTAAAATGTCCTTAAATAACATTTTAGGAAACATGGTAACTCCTTTTTTAAATGAAAAACTGTTGTGAAGAACAATTTATATCTTAAAATATTTTAATGTAAAACTTGTGTTGGTATTACATTTTGAATTTGAAGACCGACTCAGCCCCCATACATTCCCCTCTCACATCCTGTGTGAGGAAGTTTCCAGAACTACCGCAGCAAGGGCCTCCAGAGAAGACCTCCCAGAGTCCTCTGGGACACACCCCCTCCTCAATGTCAGCAGAATACGTTATCATTTTCTTACTGTAATCCAAATTGTCTTTTCCACTTTTCTAGTCTTAATATTTACGCATTTCAGATATCCTATATTTGTTCCTGAGGACATGCAATTCATTTTCAACCAATATTTATGCATGCCCTTAAGAGTTACCATTTGTATAGTCTCTTTTAAAAAAACTGGATGACGGGTGTATCTCTTTTTTTATGTGTGGGGGATATCAGGAAGCAACACACATTTATGGTTAGAGGCTCTGGGATTCTTCTAGTTTCTATTGCCTCCTGGCTGTGGGTTTTTAGGCAAATCATTTAGCTTCTGTACCTCTCAGTTTCCTCAGTGATAAAATAAAGATAATGACAGTTCCTACCTTGCAAAGTGGAAGGTTTAAGCATAATCCATGTAAAATTCTCATCACAGTTTCTGGCAAATGTTTATTGCTCAAGACATGTTAACTATTACTATTATTTTACTTGGAATAAGAAATTTCCCACATCTCCTTTCTTCCTTTCCAATAATTTTCTTTTTTCTCTCTTTGAATGGGTGCTGAATATATTCAGAATAAAATGTTTACCATTTGCTTTCAGTTTTCAGTCCTATAAACTTTAATGAAACCCATACCGTGTACCAGACGCCACAGTAGTGAGCATCAGAATGGATAAAGTGTATTCTCTTTTCTTCATCCTACAGTATAGGAGAGACTTAGTCAATCATTTCACCTTTGCACATGAGGAGTGGGTGGGAGCATTAAAGGATAGTCATTGAAGGCTCCCTGGAGCAGGCAACTGGAGCCCTGAGCCACATGGGAGCATCAGCCAATGAAGAATGGTGGTAGCCCTTCCAGGCCCAGGAAGAGCCTGCAACACAGGAAGAAACAACATGAAGTCACAGTATGTGGGGGGAGAACATCCCTCTGCCACTTGTGGGGTTCAAAGCAAGAGTGCAAATAGAGGTTGAGTAGCTTATATCTAAATAGAAGCTATAAATCAAGTTAACAAACTACTACATAAAGCAAATTTTATCCTCCTACCTTGACAAATATACCTTTATAATATTCTGGCAGGCTGGGTTATAATTTGGAATTTTAGAATTTATTGGAATTCCAGGCTAGAAATGTAATGGGAGATGAGAACTAATCTTTAGCCCAAGGCCCACTGTGAAAGCTGAATGTGTTCCTCAAAAATTCATACATTAAAACTCTAATTCTTAATGTAAAGGGGTCTGGAGATGGGGTTTTGGAAAGTAATTAATTCAGGAAGAAGCTTTCATGCTGGGATTAATTGCCTTATCTTAGTTTGCCCCTCACCCATGTAAGGAAATCTGGAAGAGAACACTTAGGAGCCATCAGATCTGTCAGCACCTTGATCTTGGAATTCCCAGTCTCGAGAATTGTGAGAAAGAAATTTCTCTCGTTTAAGTCAGCCAGTTTATGGTATTTTGTTAAAGTACTTCAAATAAACTAAGGCACTCACCTTCCCCTTTTCTTATTTCCTTTTCTTCTGTATCTACTCCCTCCCTTCATCTCTTTGGAAATGATGCTAATATATGCCTGTTGGCCAGCACACTTCAGACCTGCCTAGAAGACCAGTCTAATTTTCAGAGCATAAACTCAGGGATTAAACCAATGCTATCCTTGAAAAGGGCTTTGAGTCATTTTACAGACTCCAGCTTGGAGTCTGAATGAATTCTCTTTAGTTATATTGATTCTTCATCTGTAAGGAAGACCTAAGACCACCAGAACCAACTATTCTAAAGACAAAGTCAGCACAGATATCCTGTGTGCCTGAATCTAAGAGTGGAAGGGAAATTACACTTCTGTATCATGAAAGCTAAGGAATAAGGCAGAGAAGTGAGTACAAAGGCTGGAAGGCTAGATGGGGGCCATCCTAGGGTTACTGTTGCATGAAGAGAAGGTGAGTTTGGATCTGTTGGATATATGCACTCTTTGAAAGCTTGTATACAAAGAGATGTCATGATTCAACTTTAAAAAAATAAATTATTCACAGTTTGGAGAACAGATTTAGGGTTAAGAGTCAGAACAGGAAAAGAGGAATTAGTTTTGGAACAGTCCAGGGATAGATGAAGTTAAATTCTGTGGAGATGAGAAGGTGGGATCAATATATGTTTTGAAGTTAGAATTAGCACAAATTATTGATCATTTAGAGATGGCAAGGGAGACTGTACAGGATGGGATACGGGAAGAACAATAGGTTGATTCCAATGTTTTGCTTCAGTGGTTGTGCATTACTTTTCTTTCGTTGTTGTAAAAATTACTACAAATTTAGCAGCCTAAAACAACACCAATTTATTTCTCACACTTCATCTCATCTAGATCTCCTGCTTAGAGTTTCACAAAGTTGAATTCAGGTATTGGCAAGGCTCCATCCCCCATAGAAGATATGTAAGTAAATTTGTTTCCAAGTTCATTCAGGTTGTGAGGTAAATTCAATTCTCTGGAATTGTAGCTCCAAGTCTCCCTTTCCTTACTAGTTGTTAACTGGGAGCAAGCCTTTGCTCTTAGAGACAGCATGCATTCCTTCACATTACTTCTGTGTAGAACCTTTCAGCAATGGAGGTAAACTCCCTTCAAATGTCAAATCTCTCCTTTCTGTTGATTTTTCTGCTTCATCTCTCTTCCGCATTCCTTTTCTGCTTTCCTATTCTGTAATTAGAGAATAGTTTCTGCATATAAGGATTATAGGTGATTAGATTGGGCCTTTACAAGTAATCCAGGATAATCTCCCCATTTCAAAGTACTCAATAATTTCTTTACTGTGTTTTGCAATATATTCATAGGTTTCAAGGATTAGAGCATAGACATGGGGGGTGGCATTCTGCCTACCAAGAACTGTACAAGTTTTCTGTAATGATGTAGTCTGAACAAACTTCTCATTCCACAGATGTCCCTTGTCTGAAATCAACCAACAGGTTGGTGATAGAAGTTGGGTGAGAATCCAGCCTTTCTGCTTTCTAGTCCAGTCCATCCATGATCACACTATGAATAACACCTAACTCTACCTGCCTTAAACTGACCCAATTGCTCTATATTGAATCCTTTATTCATTTTCTTCATTGAATCTATGAGACCCTTAAATGATGTTATTGGTTTATTTATCAGTGACTTTTCCTCATAAGTATGCAGATTCCTCCTTACACAGAGAAACTCTTTATTTTTATTTATTTATTTTAAAAGGAATATATACAGCTTCATGTATGGTAGGATCTTGTTAGTGAGGAGCTGCTCATGTATATTGAGTATGGACATTAACACCGGGCTGGCTGATGGCGAAGGCTGGAACCTCTGTGGTCCTGATGAACTTTCACATGTTTTACAGCTCCAGCAAGTTTTTTATAAGCAAAGTTTAGATTCTGTTTTTAAAATCAGTTAGTTTTAAAAACAATCTTAATCTTCCCAGTGCAGAGGAGGAGTCTTCCGGACCGCCATAGCACTGCTCCCAGCCAAGAGGAAGAGGCTCCAACCCAACCTAGCTTGGCTCCCAGCACAGAGGGGGAGGCTTCTGAGCCACTGTAGCACCAGTCTCAGCACACAGGAGGTGAGTTCCAGCACCACCACCTAGGCCACGTCAAAATGAGAAGACACAGAAACAAGCCTCAAAACCAGACTTACGATCACCTACAGCAACACCAAAGGGAAACAAGATGGAACACTCTGATACTCAACAACCTGAACTCCCTGAACTGGCAAAAAAAGAGGATCTGGAAAAAATAAAATAAGAAATAATTTCTCAGATAACAGCAGAGATTGTGCCCATAAGGGAAGACATGATTAATAAATCTAGAGAGGACACAGACAAAAAATAGAGGAGCTGAGGAACATGATGGAACCCCAACATAGGAAACAAATGGAATCCATAAAACAGATACAAACAGATTTCCAGGAGATTAAAAACTCCATTGAAAG